CTAGTTCACTCATTCTTATGGAAATCTGTTTATTTTGCTCTCCTATACTGCACACTATGTTATTCAAGGCTTCTTCAATTGATGCTCCGTTTTCTACTAGTGGCGTCACAATTGGCGGTGTCACCCTGTCGATCCCAGGTAGCTTGGTACTGGTCGAGATTCGGGCTTTGATTCTCTGCCTCGACGTCTTTTCTTTATCCACCTCTGGATCCGCCGATGCGTTGCTTAGCCCTATGTTTCTATTCTCCCCAGTTCGCGTTTCCGATTTTGTCATACTCACAAAGTCTCTTGACTGGCCTGATGTGTTTGTGGTTTTGCTTATTGTCTTCACTACACCAAATTGGTTCATGGTAGCAGTCCCTCTGTTGATGTATGCTTCATTCTCCTGAGTCGAATTATTGAGGCTGACTTGAGATCCAAAGTCAGCTTAATCTTCATCTCCCTCTTCTTCTTCCTGGGATTCACCCTCTTCTCCTCCCATGTTGAATGAAAAGATGTTTCCCAAAGTGTTCTTCACTCTTTCTGAAAACGATGAGGACGTTGCCTGTTTCTCCGTCACGCCTGCCATCATGGTGTTGTCTGTGGGAGATCTTCTAGTTGCCACAATTTCAGTAGAGATGTCGGACAGCTCCGACATCTCCTCTCGGTCCAGTGTCCCGGTGGAAGTGACAAAATCCTGGCCTTGTTCTACCGGAGTAGATTCACTCGCCCGCTTTCTGTTTCTCTCCTCCGGTCCATGTATTTCCTGATTCTCAACTATGGCCTGGTCCGGATGGCCCTCCACTACTAGCATTGCTTTCCGCTCTTCTGAAGATTTTTGACTCCTGGTCTCAACCATTCTGCCTGAAACCGTCTAACCCTTGTCGGTCCGGGTTCGTGTGATCCGTTCCACAAAAGGATCGGTCATTGCTTTTCTTTGTTTCTCAGGTATGAATTTCCTGGAGCTATCACCTAGTTTAGGTATCCTTGACTTTTCTACTCATACTCAATTTACCACTTCATATTGCATATACACTCAATTCGATTGCTAGTGTCCTTTTGATCTGACTATTGATAATAATAACACAACACAATAAATTCCAAAAGTTTCTATTAAATAGTGACCACGAATCCTTGTATGTTATCACAGTACAGCGTGTATACAATTTATTCACTATAATTGATTATTAGTTGTGAAATGTGAAGCTAGCACAGAATGATGTTATCAGTCTATTTAAAAGATAGTGTTTTCACTAGCCAATCAAGCACATATATTATTGATTTAAAACCAGAAATAACAAAATAAGAATATTTTTATGAAAAACCAATGTGTTTTGTACTTTTAGTCAGTCGCAGTACAATAGTCGAACTTGTATATAAAAAAAGAGCTTTCCCTGCTTGGTGCTGCACCAAACAGACAAAACTTGAGGGCAGTAATTTTCTCAAGTGGACGTCTATTGCACCCACCGAGTCCTGTGTTACCTATCTGCCTCCGTACTGCCCGAGCTAGACCTACTAAAATCCTCAGGGCAGTCACTTTTCTCAAAAACGTTTTTGATTTGAGTCCTCACTTATGAGTTACACACTCTTGGTCAATTTAGACTTAGTCTCTCGAATGTCGAGTTTAAACCTGTTTTGTTTTTATTCGGTTATTTACGCAAGGAAAGTTACCACTGCAGTCACTGGTTCCCAGCCTCTTAATAACCTAATATCCCTAACTACTTTCTATTCTGTTGTCTTCTTCAAGTTTTGACAAAATAATACCCCACCGAATCGGCAAAATTGGGACCCCTCCGGATTGACAAAAATCGGACCCCTCCGGATTGACAAAATTCAGACCCCTCCGGATTGGGACCCTTCCTGTTTTGTAACGATTTACACCACTACGGATTGGGCCCCTCCGTTTTTGTAAAAAATTTTAGACCCCTCCGGTTTGGGACCCCTCCGAGTTCGTTAAAAGAGCTTCGCAGAGGTTTTCTAAATTTCAAAACTATACCCTTCCGGATACGTTCTCCGAATCTATTCTGCTGTTTGAATCAACTAGGAAGGGTGTGTCGTCCTTCCCAAGACCCTTCCGGATTGAAGTTAAGCCTATTATTTGATGGTTCACCCTAACGGTGAAGGGTCTTATCGCTAGCCTAATTTCGGCTCGACTAAGGTTTTCTTGTGCCTTTAGCCTTCCCTTTTTGTCTAATACAGCGTAAAATTGCCTTATCTACCGTTTCTACTCTTTGGTAGGGGTGTAAGAGCTTTCCAAAAAAGTTTTTATAAAACGTTAAGGGTCTACCTTCCCGAATTGGTGAATTTGCTAAAACAATCCTAAAAAGTTTTCACGCTTACTTTTTTGAATAATTGATGTTTTTATTAGTAAGCTCAGCTAATTTTTGATCTAATGGTACCAAGATCAACTGGATTTGTCCAGTAGTTTCTAAGTTATTAACCAAAACGTCTTTTTTCTAAAGTCAAAAAAGTTCTCTCTTTTAGGTTCCGCCTAACTTTTTTCACAGTTCTGTTCTTTTTGACCTAAAAATTATTGATCCGAGCTCAAAAGGCCTATACTCCTCTAGTTTAATGCAAAACACTCGATATAAAATGCTCTAGTTGAAAAAAATTGCACCAAACTATGCTAGTTGAACCCCTCCGGATTGATGAATCCACTAAATCAAACACGTTAAGTTCGATTTCTCTGTAACCCGGAAGGTTATCGGAAAACGGGTTTTAGAACCTGTCGATTCACTAGTGGACGTTATCCGAACAATTTTTACTGTGCTAACTCAAAAAATTTTCAAAAAATTTTCTTATTTTGTAGTGTTCTGTTTCTTCAAAAATCACGAAAATTCGGTTTTTGGTACTAAAATAGTTCCAGCCACCTCTGAATTAAACTCAACCGGTACTACTTATTATACTAGAATAGTTACGATGTAACTCACTGATTTAGCCCTTTTTCTGTTTCAAAAAATATTGATATCTCCCCACAGATTACTATCTTATTTTTTTTTACCAAAAGGGATACAAAACTTGTTAACGATACCCAACAGTCAACTGTTGTTGTCGTTGAGCCCCTCTTGACACTCCTTGTACTGCTTGCCGGATCAGTATTCTTCAATAATCCCGAGACCCTTTCGGATTGAGCGCAAATCAGCAGACCCTTCCGGATTGAGGGCAAATTAGCAAACGAGAATTTTGGGTCTTAACTAGGTTAAGAAGCTATTCACGGTAATCCGGAAGGCTTCCGCGTTCCGAACTACTCTTCCACCCCGGCGGTTAGGGCCTATTAAGGGCGTTGTTATGAGTATGCGCTCGGAGTGGAGTGCTTGTTAACGGTTCTGCCGGTCACGTTGTTGCAAAAGAAAAATACTCAGGAGCGCCATAAAAATATCTATGTAACATTCGGCCGGAAGTACATATCGACGGAAAGTAAAGCTAAGCTATAAAACGACTGGCCAGCGTCTAAATTAAGCTCTACATGCTTTTCGCCGTCTCTACCAAAGCCAGTTCTTTTGGTGGTCTTTCTAACATCGGGTCGATAAAAACGTTACTGTTCTCCGGCTTCGACCAGAACGCTCAAATTAACTTACTTACATGCAGAAATAGTGAGCTCATGGCTGGGTCTCAGTATTCCCAGACCACGAGGTCACTCCTAAAAACAGAGCTACTACTAATTATTATTTTATTATTGTTTTTGTTAAGTAGATAAAAATCATCATCTCCATCGAAGATGGTTCAACCCTTTCCCTTAACTCCTAGCTTCTCATCGTCAAAAAATGAATTCTGATGTTAAATAAATTCAATTCATGACATAATAGGGAAGCTAAAAGTTTATATAAAATGATTTCAGTTCAAGTCTTGAGACACCTCGGATTCTCGAATCCGGAGAAATAACATCCTTATCTTCTTCCGGAAGGCTGGACACGTCGTCCCAACACCCTTCCTGGTTCTCGTGAATTGCTTTGTAACGATTGTAACTGCACAATCGTTACAACTCGGAATAGTTTCTGACAATCCTATTCTTTCTTCAATCTCGATCAGTTTCACACGACTTCCGTTGTTGTTGTTTTCACTGAGATTTCTGTCGTTCTGTTTTCGCAATTTCTGTTGGTGCGAAATATATTAAAAGGTTACGTGTCGTTCACGTCCAAATCGAAATTTTGAAAATTAACATATCAGTCAAAACTAACCCCTCCTGATTCGTCTAGTTCGTCTAATCAAAAGCTACACACGATTGCAAGAAGAACTTCCACCGTAGGTGGTTTTGACCCTCGGAACTTCAAGATAGTCTTCTCTGTTTTTTGCAAGGCCAGCATGAAGCTTATAATCATTAGGCTGACGTTTTGTTCATGTTTTGGTAATCGAAACCTTGATTTATCTCACATACCCGAAAAAGCACGTGTTGCTCTTCTCTGGTTACAAGAAAGTCAATCAGTGTTGTGACGAAAATAGTCTCCATGAATTAGTTTGATACTGCAAAAATTTCGATCTCCACAGGCCTTATGAAACAGCTCAACCTCCATAAGTGTTGTTCATGTTCTACCTTTTGAAGTCGATGGAGTTTTTTTCGCATTTCCAGAGTTCATTTTATCTTATCTTGTCCGGATGTTCAATTAATTCCCAAGGCGCTGCTCCCCATGGCTGCATCATGAAATCATACAACAGTCGGGAAATCTGCCCCAGACGCAACCTTTTGAATTGTTTTTGCAAAACATTGCCATGACTGAGTCCACCAGAAACTTCTCATTGCTTGGCAAGCTATAGAACTTGCTCCTACAGAACCACTTTTCATTCCCTGATATGCTTGCGATCATTTTGCAATGCCCCTGACAAAGATTAACTGCTCACTGTTAGAACTAAGTGGTGCTTGAGTTCTAGAAATTCAAAAGACTCTAAACTGATTTTATGACGATTTGTAGACCACATTGGATTTTAAATCACTCAAAAATGGCAACTGAAGGGAGAGAAGAGTGGCTTTGAATTGATATTAATATGCAGAAGAGTGTCGATTTTAATAACTTTTGTTTTTTTTCAGATTATGATTTCCGATAAGGTTGCTCATCTCCGACTGGAGCGCTGGTCTTGGCCGGTGCTTTTATATTTCCCCATTGGAATAATTCTACTGGCAGTTCGTTTGGCACTATTATTGGAAATAATTTTGATTTGGGTTCTCATTCCTGATTTTGAAGCAAAGAAAGTTGCCATGAAGTTCCTATTCACTGTCATGGGCCTTCACGTCAATTTTGAACGTCAGTCCCTGAAAAAATGTCCAAGAATTATTATATCCAATAAATCTTCTTTATTCGACTACTTGGCGATGCAAACAGTAGTGGATATCGATTTCGTAGATAATGAAACGAGGCATCTTACTGTACCACCAGGAAAGTGTAAAAATTTAGTAAAGGATCATTTTGGCGCTAAAATTAAGTCACTAGAAACTTCTTCAAATTTCATCTTCATGCAGCCTCAAACCTATATCTCAAGCAATGCCTCGGCGATTTGTCCCGTAGTTCCTGGTAATCTAGAAGGTGTTATGCAAGCACAGCTAGTCATGTTAAAATTATGGAGACCTGTTGATGTTTCATCCTCAGTGGGTACAAATACGAGTTACTGGGATGCGTTATGGCTCATGTTTAGTCCCATTACAGTTGTTGAGATATCCTTTGTGGGTAAAATTGAAAGAGAAAGTACAGTATCAAATGAAACCTTCGCACAAGATGTTGAACAAAGGTTTAGCGATTACTCAGGTCGACCTGTTCTTGAAGAAACCGAAGAAGAAATGAGTGCTTTATTGTTCAAAAATGCCCAGAAGACAATTGATCTAACAACCATTAACGAGAAATCAAATGAATTTTATTCTAAACTAACGACATCGGATCGCTTCACCATAAGAGCAGAAAAAGTTAAAGAAATGATCCAAACTGAGCGTGCGAAATACCTAAGCCGTAAAAACAGTTCTAACTAAACGAAAAATTACCCTCCAATTATTTCTTGTCACATCCAGATATTGTTGCATGAGTCTCTTTAAATAGTATTAGATCAATATCACTGCGCAGAATTGATATAAATCAACTTAATTTGACTTAACCTTCGTCTAACTTGAACTTCGGTAAACTTTAAGTTAAACGTAAACTGTAAATTGTGTTCTTTCAGTGAAATTGAATGAAATTGGTACTCCATTTTAAATACGATGTTTGCGATAACTTAATTTGATCACTCATTGTTCTGGGAAGCTATTTTTCCTGCTAGTTGGATTACTTGCTGCAGAAAGAATCAATGTTTCTCCAACAATGGGTCCAAGTAGTCCTGATAATTTAGCCTCACGTGAAAGTGAAAGGCAAATTTCGCCAACTCTGTCGAGCTACGTGGATTATCAACTCATTGAAGATACAGTGTTTGACTTTAGACCATTCCCCAATTGTGACAGCACATCAGGATCTCTATTAGACATTCCACTAGATAGGGTGATTGGTAAACAGGAATGGACCAGTTGCTCCTTCCAAGACAGAAGTATTGCCCATCTGGTTATGTGTGAAGTAACGATGACTACAATTGCAGCATCTAGATTTGATGACCTTTTTGTTGATTATCAGGAAAAGGAACAATCAACCGAGGAAAACGACAGTTTTGGTGGTTCAGATGGTTAGTTTCTGATTACTTTCTCTTTTAAATGAAATAAAATCGTTGATAAGATAGACATTGATGAATCAGGGTAACTTCCCAACTGGCATAATTCCCAAATGCCATAAAAACAAATTAATTTCCAAATGGCATAAACATTTTCAATAAATATGTGAAAACTTTGAGGCGTGAAAAAGTAAGATCTTTCCAGACAGTTTTCACGCCTTGCTTTGTTCACTTGTCAACAAATTACTAATCACTCATCAACATTTAATTCAAGAAGAACTATTAGATTTTTAAAAAATGAGCCAAATTGAACTTTTCAAAAAGAGACGAGGTTGCAGTTTGTATTTCTAAGGATGTTTCTATAAAAACAAACCGAAGCTACAATCAAAATTTTTATGGCTTTGTACTGAAGTTGAATGCGGCTCCAGACCCACTTTAAATATTGAAATGGATACCCTGTTGACTCATCCAAGTTCTCATGCCCATATGCCCGACTATAACCGCTATAAAGATCTCACTTTAAAAACTAAATTTCTTTCGGAAATTTCTCAAAACCCGCTCGCTTCAGTTGCTCATAGTTACGGAAAAAATTGTGGCCGGAACCAGTGATACAAGTCGCTGCTCATTCAAAAATTTAAAATCGACATTGTATCGCCAACGATACGCAATGATGCCAAAAATTCCTAGAAGTATCGAATCGTTAAGAATTCGAGATGAATGGGCAGAAACGCAGGATGGAAAAAAATCTTGCTAAAAATCGACAGAGATTGGGTTATTGTCATTTTTTCAAGTTTACCAAGCTTACGTTATTTTTAGAGTATTTGAAGAATCAAAAATTCCCTTGGTTTTGGGTTTGCTTCAAAATAAAACGACAAAAACATCGACAAGATTACTGGTTTCCCGATTTACAAATCTTAGTGTTTTTTTTGAACTATTTTTTGGCCACTTAGTTACATCAATTTCCACCAAGTATCTACAACGTTTATCCCAGGCAGAGCACTCTGAGAACAGTAAATGCATGTGAAGGCTACAACAACCGGCTGAATACACGAGTAGGTCGTCGAGTTTGCCCTAATTTTTGGGTGTTTGTTAAAATTTTACAAAATGAAGAAAACTTGGCAAGAAGATCTTACAGGCGATTTTCATTGGGCTACCAAGCTTTTGTTCCTCGAAGAAAAAAAATGGAGAAACTTAAACGCAATGATTTGCAACGTGAAACAGAGATTCGAAACCCAATCGCTTGGTATTGACGAATATTGGGATAGTATTTCAGAAATCTGCCAAAACTTGTAAAAATTAAAATTCAATTGATTTCTTTCTTTGTTGAATTTTCCGGTTATCTTAATTACAAGCTAATTTAAATCTTATGATATTGGGAAATTAATAACTTTTATGCCATTTGGGATTGTTTTTTCAAAATTTTTGCCATTTGGGATTTTTTTTTTGAAATTTATGCCATTTGGGAATTATGCCATTGGAGACGTAATCATGATGTAGTAGTTTCGAAACTGTTTATCTTTCTTTGTGTTCATATTTGTTTTTCACATGCTAAAACAGTTGTATTCTCACTTTAAATCATGTTTCAAACACTTGCGAGTGTGCATGTAAAGAATTTTTTTACGCCGATTGAACGCATGCTGCAGATTAACTAGTTTTGTTCATACAACAAATTTCACGTACTGATCTTTTCATGAAATGCGTATGAACATGCGTAAGTTGACTAATGAAGGCAAAGTGTGGTAACCTAAATGTCACACTAGTATGATAAGTATATTAAGGTTAATTTAAAAAACTGCGCGGTAATCTTGTTAGAGCGATAAATTGAATGGAAATACTGATACGAGTGTTTAAACGAGTTATGAGTTCTGCCCCTCTTAGTGTTTGAATGTCCGCTATTCGTAGGTTATATAAATGAGTCGAAAATGATTGACAGCCGAGACGAAAATCTTCGAGCTGCCTCGGATGCTAGCAGCTCCGACAACAAATCAGTTTTGTCGGACACCACCCAACCTGGCCGAGAAGAGCACACAACAGAATTTATGAGCCGACTCATTGATGATCAGATTTCAATTGGCGACGAAACTAGCAAGTCGAGATCATCGATCGAAACTTTGACCCCGAGGGCGAGAGGTGGAGCTTTCTGTTTTCCAGATTGCCGGTCGTCCGTTCCTCAGAAACAAAATCGGCAAAAGGTCTCAGAAGATGTTATGAAGGTGTATCCTATTGTTTGTCCTTCTGAACTGGCGACAGAGTGTCTTAAGTGCACTCAGCAGAAAGAGCAACATAATGGATCAGTTGGAACTACGCTTAGAGACCTCAACATCATCTTCAGACAAACTGAGGCTAGTTAAAACAGCTTTTCTGATGTATCTTTTATCTAGAACTACCTAAATTTTGTTACATTTATTCGCTTAAGAATTAACAGTCAGAACATAATAGTAGAGACAAACTGGCCTTGTTATCCCCGTTTTATGTATAATCAAAAGGAATTTTTTGATCTATCAAATTATAACTAAATCATTCGTGCCAATTGACGCGATTGTAATCATTCGTGCCTATTGACGCGATTTTAATGTTTATCTATTATACGGCATGATCAAACTGAAATCACCTACAGCTCTAAAAAGCAAATGGTTGTTTCAGGTAACACTAGAAGAAATCAAAGACAGGTTGTCATGGGAACCCATCATCGGCAACGAAAAAGTAGTGGAAGTTTGCGACAAACCTCAAAACCCTTTCTTGCACATGAGAGACGAGCAGAATATGCGTTGTGCGTTCTGCGGTCTGAAAACTGACTCTAATCGGTACGTCGGCTTCCAGTTCTGCTTCTATTACGGCAAGTTTGGATGTAATACATGTGTCACTGGAAAAACAAACATAATTCCCGCTAAGATTATATTTAACTGGGACTTCCACCAGTTTGCGGTGTCAAATCTAGCCAAAGAGTTTTTTGAGCAGACGGAATTTAAACCGATTTACAACCCAAGAGTTTTGTGTCCGCGATTTCTAGAAGAGTCAAGCAAAATGGCAATCATGCGTCGAATCGAAGATTTGAGGTTGAAAATATCTCTGGTTATGGAATGCATAGACGCTTGTGATGTTCCCGACGCGGTCAGATACAAATCAAAAATCAGATCACATTTTCACAAAACGAGAACGCATTTATTTGAAGCCACAGGAAATTATTCGCTACAAGATTTTGTGGAAATTTCATCAACTCGAGTTGATAATATGGAACATTACCTAAAACAAATTTTAGCACAGACTAAATATCATTGCGAGAGGTGCTCGTTCTGTCGCCAAAGATACAAACTTTGTCTGTTGTGTAAAGACAAAGAACTGGTTTTCCCGTGGTACAACGACTCTGTAGTTTCATGTGAAAATTGTCAAAGAGTGTTCCACAAGAAATGCGCGGATAGAAAGGCATCACTAATTTGCCCGAGTTGCAATTCTAGCACGATTGCAACAAAAACATCCCGAAGACTTACAGGAATTGTGTCAAATAGTCCGAATTCAGTTTGCTAAACTAACGGTAATTCTCTGGGAAAGAACTACTTCTTTTTGCCGAGTTTTTACTTGGACGTAAAAATACAGAAGCTCAAAGTCGGAAATCCAGCAGGAAAAGAATCAGAATAATTTAAAATTCAAGATAGCTATCATTTATTCTTTTATATGAAATTACACGAGCATTTGTGAAATTTTTATTCCATTGTACTATGATTTTAAATTTAGTTTTAGTTTTTCCATTCTTTTTTCAAAAAAAAGTGAGTTATTTGAAAATTTTAATTTTGAAAAAATAATATAAGGACAATAAAAAAAAACTGCCCAAAAATTCAGTTTTTAAGGAACGCAGTTTTTTGGGCGCCTTTTTTACCAGCGTTTCATTTTATCTACGTATGTTTTAGTGTTTCCGTTTTAACATGATTTCACGTTTTAAAATTTCATAAAGTATTTCGAAAAATTAACGGCGTCTACCTTATAGAATAGATTTGGGTTGTAAAGTACGTTCGTCACATCTAAATGCAGTGTTGACTTTAAAAAAATGTTCATATTTTTGCAGTTTCTCGACACCACGCCATCTATCTTTCAATGCCGCACCAAAAGCGCAACGTTCATCACCACAGTAGGTCGACACTTTGTAACAAGCGACAATTGGCAACAAGGCATTGGAAAGTAGCATTTGATTGCTCTGCTTCGGTTACATCCGGTATGAGAGGAATACTGCGCATGACTCAGTGTTCAGCGCTACATTTTTTGTTACGAATTGTCGCTTGTTTCGAATCGTCGCCTGTTTTGGGTTGTCGCCTCAAGCATCACACCTAATTTTCTGTTGTGAAGGTTGATGTAATTATTGTGCTTTTGGTGTAGTATTGAAAGATCTATGGTCTTTTCGAGAAACCGCAATATCACGAAACTTATAGTCACCGCAAAGTTTTTTTTTTATACCTTATCGATCCTTGGCATACGAATGATAATTACTTGTTAAGTGCACCATAAATGCGTTTAGCACGTCAATTTGGGCTGTTATTTGTTGATGATGCTTGTATAATTTTCCGTGCTGCGAACGATATTAAGAGAAGGGTCGATTCTTTGAGATATGAATGTTTTCATTAATTGTTAATAAAGAAAAAGTTGATAAAACTGAAGGAAAATGGAAGTGAACATATAAATACTTGAAAGCTTTTTACAGGCATTTTTTTGCCTTTGTAATATATTTTCCTTATTACTCTTGCCGTGCTGGATTTTTTCCTCATAAATAACTTTGTTCGCAGCTGTCATTTCGATTTATCTCTCGAACACCTGTGTTGGCAATAATTTTATTGCAACAGTAATTTTTGAGCATACCTGCAAAAGAAAAATTCTTTCTTTTCTATTTTTAATTGCTTCTTGCAATTTTACAAACTCGATGGTCTTTTGAGTAGAGGGGCGCGCCAGCCGCCGGAGCTCAAAATAACAATCAGCCGCCACGAAATACACGGCGCCAGCCTCGGCTGAATCATTTCGTGAGTGATACAGTTATAAGCCAGCTACTATATTGCGTCAGCTATTTTTCTATTGCGTTAGCCATCGTTCTAATTCGTTAACTAGGTGTAACTACAATCACAACTCTCAGCCACTTATTTTAAACACTTGGTTTTTGCTCATGGGAATTATGCGCCGGTTAAAGACGTACACGACTAATAAATATGTTTCAGAGTCCGTTTTTAAAAATTAAAGAAAACTAGGATGCTTTCAGCCGGCTGAGCAGCCGCTGCCGACAATTTTTGCTTCGAGCCGCCGAGCATGCTCGGCTGAGTCGGCGCGCGTCTCTGGTTTTGAAGGCGAGAGGGTTTCTGTTAAGGTTTTTCGAATTAATAAGTTTTCTTCCGGTCGTAGTTTCAATTTCGTTTTTCTTTGCATGGTTTTTCAAACATTTTTTAAATTACCAATCGAGACGAATTGTCATCATTTTCATAGGTCTTAATTTTTCTGTATTTTTGCACAAAGCCGCTGTCCGTCTCATTTTTTCTCAGCTAGCGTGCAATTTTATGTTTTTTTTGTATCAAAACGTTGAAGCTCCGCTTAGCCACTGTAAAGAATAGTTGATAGGGTTTGGATATTCAAATTTTTTTGTTTCAAATCTTTATCTATTTATCTTTCTATACATCTAATCTAAAAAATATAAATTGGCGTTTCACCTGAGACATGTTGATATATTTAAGAAGTCTCTATGTGGACATATTTAAGCTTTTTGAAAGTATTATTTTTTGCATGTTAAGCTATAGTGTATATTGTAATGCTGAAGAAAATCACTTGGCTTATTTTTAAGAAGTCGCTATGTTCGTCTATTAAATGGCCAAAACCTTGAAAGGGTTGAAATATTTACTCAAATAAACAGTTTAAAATCTGTTGTAGGGCGAATGCTTTAACTGAACTTTTTTTCTATATTCGCAACGTAAAACTATCAAATTTTTGTACCACCATTGATTTAACTAAATATTATTTTGTCAACCTTATAATGGGTGCTATCTGGTTTAGCTCAAGAGTTGCGTCTCTGGCGTCCAAGTATTACGGCTCAAATCCTTTAAGTTAATAATTAATCCTTTTATAATTTTTTCTGTTTTTGTTCCAACAACAAAAAAAAACAGATATAAAATAAAGTAACCGCACTTGCTCAGCCCTACCTACCTATACTGGGTTGCTGTCAGGGTACACTCAGGAGTTGCAAATCTAGCGTCCAAGTATGATTGCTCAAATCCTTTTGGTTTTCGAGATTTGGCGTTTTTATGATCTTTAAAGTTCAAAAAATAATAAGATATAAAGAACTCAGCAAACTTCAAGTTCTTAACCCTCAGTCGGGGTCCTGTCAGTTACCCATTGGCGTTGCATATCTGCCCTCTAAAAATGAGTGATCAAATTCTTTGGTTTTCGAGATATGGCGTTTTTTTGCTTTTTTTTTTAAAAAAAAAGAAATAAATTAAGGAAAGCGAACTTGAAATTCTCAACCTTATTTTAGATGCTGTCGGGGTACACTCAGCGCATGGGTTGCATATCTGGTTCCAAATATGAATGCTCAAATCCTTTTGGTTCTCGAGATACGGCGTTTTTTTTCGTACTTCTTATAACATTTTTTTTCAAAAAAAAGGTAAATAACTTTAGGAGAGCGAACTTGAAAATCTCAATTTTACAGTGGATGCTGTCGTGGTACACTTAGCGAAGGGATTGCTTATCTGGTTCAAATATGACTGCTCAAATCCTTTTGGTTCTCGAGATATGGCGTTTTTTATGGTTTTAGCAATTTTTCAAAAAAACTTTGTTAATAAATAAAGTAACCGAATTTGAAATTCTCAACTCCCTATTAAGATGCTGTCAGTTAACACTCAGAAACTGCAAAGCTGGCGTCCAAATTTGACTGCTCAAGTGCTTTGGTTTTCTTGATATGGCGTTTTTTATGACTTTCAATTTTCTTCAAAAAATACTAAGTAAATTAAGGAAACCGAATTTAAAATTCTCAGACATATAGTGGGTGCTGTCGGGGGTACACTCAGCTCAGGGGTTGCATATCTGCCCTCTAAATATGAGTGATAAAATTCTTTTGGTTTTCGAGATATGGCGTTTTTTTCTTTTTTTTTTAAAAAAAAAGAAATAAATTAAGGCAAGCGAACTTGAAATTCTCAACCTTATTTTGGATCCTGTCGGGGTACACTCATGCATGGGTTGCATATCTGGTTCCAAATATGAATGCTCAAATCCTTTTTGGTTCTCGAGATATGGCGGTTTTTTCGTACTTCTTATAACATTTTTTTTCAAAAAAAAAGGTGAATAACTTAGGGAGAGCGAACTTGAAAATCTCAATCTTACAGTGGATGCTGTCGTGGTACACTTAGCGCAGGGATTGCTTATCTGGTTCAAATATGACTGCTCAAATCCTTTTGGTTCTCGAGATATGGCGTTTTTTATGGTTTTAGCAATTTTTCAAAAAACTTGGCTAATAAATAAAGTAACCGAATTTGAAATTCTCAACTCCCTATTAAGATGCTGTCAGTTAACACTCAGAAACTGCAAAGCTGGCGTCCAAATTTGACTGCTCAAGTGCTTTGGTTTTCGAGATATGGCGTTTTTTATGACTATTTCAATTTTTTTTCAAAAAATACTAAGTAAATTAAGGAAACCGAATTTAAAATTCTCAGACATATAGTGGGTGCTGTCGGGGGTACACTCAGCTCAGGGGTTGCATATCTGATTCCAAATTTTACTGCTCGAATCCTTTTCGAGATGGCGTTTTTTATTATTTTTAATTTTTTTTTCAAAAAAACTTAAAAACCCAATTTGAAATTCTCGATCTTGTAGTGGATTGCTGTCGGGGCTACACTCAAGATTCGCAAAGCTGGCGTCAAAATTTGACTGCTCAAATCTTTTGGTTTTCGATATATGGCGTTTTAATGACTTCTTCATTTTTTTCAAAAAAAAACTTTAGATTAATTAAAGTAACCGAACTTGAAATTCTCCACCGTATACAGGCGTGCTGTCAAGGAACATGCAGGGTTTGCAAATATGGCGTTCAAGTTTGACTGCTGAAATCATTTTGGTTTTCGAGATGCGGCGTTTCTTATGATCTTTAAATTTAAAAAAATAGTAAGATATAAAAAAACTCAGTGAACTTCAAATTCTCAACCCTTAGGCGGGGTCCTTTCAGTTACCCCATTGGCGTTGCAAATCTTCCCTCTAAATATGACTGATCAAATCATTTTCTTTTTCGAGATATGGCGATTTTAATGTTTTTTTGTCAACCCAAACTTGAAATTCTCAACCCTATTTTGGGGTGCTGTCAGGAGTTCAAAAGCTGGCGTACAATTTTGACTGCTCAAATCCTTCTGGTTTTCGAGATATGGCGTTCTTCATGGTTTTAACAATTTTTCAAAAAAACTTGGTTAGTAAATGAAGTAACCGATTTTGAAATTCTCAGAACACACTCAGAAGTTGCAAAGCTGGTGTCCAATTTTGACTGCTCAAGTGCTTTGGTTTTCGAGATATGGCGTTTTTATGATTATTTCAATTGTTTTTCAAAAAAAACATAAGGAAATAAGTTTAGGAAACCGAACTTAAAATTCTCATTCTAATAGTTGGTGCTGTCGAGGGTACACTCAGCTCAGGTTCCAAATATCTGGTTCCAACTATTACTGCTCGAAACCTTTTGGTTTTCGAGACGGAGTTTTTAATGATTTT